AATGAAGTGTCGTGATTATTATCACTCAGATTGTTAATTATCAACTGAGAAAGAGCGCGTCTTTTATCAGTGATTTCTAAAAATGATTCCTCGTCACATTCCAAAACTTTATTGAAAATTATATAACTTAGCATGACAATATTAATAATTGGATCCTTTGGGAATTTTAAGCCACCTCTACTCAAATTTTGTATAATATTGTGATTGTCTTCTATATCAATATCATCTGCGTGTTAAAATTTTCCTTACAATGAACGCAGTGATTTTTCTTTAATAAGGCTAAGTAGGTGATGACAGGGATTTCATCCTTTATACTATCAATATCAGACTGTAAAATTTCAATTTCCCGGAAAAAGTGGTAATGATTAAAATTGTGTGGAAAGAACATGAAGAACATCATCCAAGTGGTGTATATTAGATAATAAAAATGGAGTTTTAATCTTACCTGAGTTGAGTAACAATTCTTGGGAGTACATATACGTTTTTACATTGAGATCTTTATCAACAATTACAGAGTGAGTTATGATGGGTGCTGGTTTATTCTAACTTAAACAAAGTAACCTTATCCTGAACAATGTTATGCCACCCATATCGACATTGCCATGAACTGAAAACTGTGAGAAAGTCTGAATAATTTTGAAAACAAGTTGATTTTTGATAGGAGGAATAATCATCAATGCTAGTTTGCAGTGCTTTAAGTAGTTGTTCTTGTTCCTCGTCCCTCAATTTCTCATCTCGGCTTCTTCTGCTTGATATGTCATTTGAAAGGTATTTTGGACAATTTGCAAAGATACTTGGAATTACGTCTGCCTTTAATTTTGGATACTTAAGGGGTACAGTAATGGTCCTACCTGTCTTTTCGTCATGTAAGGTGGATTCCCAAATGATGCTGTCCTCAGCAAAGTGCAAATTACATACTCGGGTGTATTTTGTAACCACTAAATCACTACGAGGGTTTGCATTGAGCCATCTTTTACGACAGTTTCAATGGAAACGAAAATACGTGTACCTTCGGACCCTTCCCGTAATTACCGGCACAATTAGGAACGCAGCACTTGTAAGGCATTTTGAAAACTTAGCTAAACAATCGCGAGACACAAACATAAGTTTAAAACATCAATAATTTTCTGTTTACATAGCATTGAAAGATGGGGCTCAGAATGTGAGTTTAGTTGGCAGGGTTGCCACATCTTCCAATTTTAAATGGAATATTAGAGTTCACAAGTGACAGGTTGAACGTAATATCGAAAATTTATTCTTGACATACTGAGGCAGATCAGAATGAATAATCACATCATCACTGAAGCTGCGCAGGCCCCGAGTACATCTTGCCCACAGAGAGGTACAATTAATTAGTAGAGATTTCGATACTGCTATATCAAACCTAGATATAACAACACCCCAGAGAAATGGTGGCGCGGTTCTCTTGCCAGCCAGTCATGGCGAAACTCCATAAGAACATGCATAGGCCTCGTCTGCGTGACGTCACGGGCTTTTCAGGGCCCAGTTGTTTGGCCTTGTACTCTCGGTGGTAACGGTACAAACCAAAGTTATGCATTGTTCTATACACAGTCATTCGACAAACACCAGTGCGACGTGATATTCTGCGGGCGCTGGTTGATGATGACCGTTCAACACTATCCAGTATTAAGTCATGGGCAGCTTTTGATGGACGTGTTACAGTAGCATTTGAACCCGATCCTGTTGCTTTCACATATGCCAAACTCTTCCAAATACCCTTCTTCGATTTGTATACCGGCAGCGGTATTTGTTCGCTGATACTCTGCAATATCCGTAGGCAAACATCATGTCACCGTATTCCTCACTCGTAAAAACAAACGTGACAGTAATTTTTGCAAAGTTCAATCAAACTGACACAACTACTCCGTCAGCAAACAAACACCATCCTGTTAATCGAGCAGTACAACGTGAATGTGGACTTTAATTATTGTAAACAGTTGTTTTAATACGAACAGTATTAAATTTTTTTGTGGTTTTCTCCCACTAAAAATAAAAAATCATATCTCGATATGGAAGTATTTGCGGACCCATGTTCATACGACCTTTTCGACTCGAATTGACCTGACGAACACGCAGAAAAATTTTGCCCCTTACCTCGCGTCATTCTTTAAATTTTTATTGAAAATTGAAAAAAATCGCGTTTGAGAATTATGAAGTGACGTTTTTTTACAAGTTTGTGTGACATTCATATCGTCAGATTATTGGAATATAGACCTTTCAGAATGTAATTTACCAACTTTATCTTCGTTTGACGCTCAGGATTTCGAACGATGAATTTTTTTGCTATTCTGATTCGTTGCCTTATACAGGGTGTTTCAGTTTATTATTGCATAACTTTAAGATTCGATAGAACTTTTAAAATTAATGCATAAAGTCTATATAAACATGGGTCGAAAAAATAATAATAGTTTTAGAAATAGTTTTTTTAAATATTTCGAACAATATTTGATGTATAACAGTGAAAATTGGTACACAAGGGTTTTTTGGTACGACAAAACGAACCATGGGCATAGTTTTACTGTAGCCGCTAGAGGGCGCTCTCTACTGTACCTGTAGTGTATTAAAATGACCGAAACATTTTTCTTAGTGCAATTTTTTGCTTTTTGAATAAAAAAACTGATTCTTCGCACTTTTAAGCATAAAAAAGCTCTCCTGCGAGTTTTCGTTATAGTTAGCCGTTTTTGAGATATTTCGATTTTTAAGGTTCGATGCATTTTTAATTATTTATGGGAAAATAATATTTTTTACATTTTCGATTTGGGCATTACAAGTAATTAAGATGATCGTTTAGATTGTGTTTTTAACACAGCAATAATTCCTAACTCCAAATAAACACAAAAAAACAGAATATTAATTTGTTTAATTTACCAATATTATTTTTAACAAATTAAATTAATGATTTACAACTAAAATGCTATTGGATAGTTAGGACAAACATACAAAATCTAAAGTAGTTGCTCGAAATGTAAACCCAATTGTTTAATACACAATTCACATCTACGAATGATCGATCAAATAAGGCCTTATTCCATCACATCTATTAGCATATCTCTTGTGCTTACGGGAGTCTGGTACACTTTTTCTTTTAGAAAACCCCTCACAAAGAAATCTAATGGATTTAGGTCAGGGGATCATGGAGGCCAGGCGACTGGTCCTCCACGGCCGATCCATCTTTCTTGATAATTTTCGTCCAGCCAGTTTCTAACTATTCTCGAATAATGAGCTGGACAACCATCAAGCTGGAACCAGGCCAATCTTCTTAAATCTAACATAACATCATCCCACATATTTGCATGTTCAGCCTTTAAAAATTCCAAGAAAGTCGCAGCATTTAACCTTGCAGGCAAAAGGTAGGGTCCTAATAGTCGATTACGGTAGATACCAATCCACACGTTCACACTAAATTCATGCTGAAAACTTCTTTCCTGAACTGCATGCGGATTTTCATGCGACCAAATATGTTGATTATGAAAATTTACCACTCCACGTCTAGTGAAGCATGACTCATCGGTCCATAAAACGTTACTTAAAAACTCCCTATTATTATCAGTTCTATCAAGAATCCACTGACAAAATGTGATTCTTCGTTCTCCGTCTCCTGGCTGTAGTCCTTGCACAGGTTGCAAATGGTATGACGTCTATGGTCATTTCTAAGAACACGGTGAACATGGCTTGCTGAAATTCCCAAGGCACCAGAAACTCTCCTAACACTTGTGGTCGGATCTCTGTCAAACTCACGCAGAATCATACGGGTAAATCTGCGCTGACGAACATTTATGTTTTGATCCCTTTGGAGATTTCCAAAACCATTTTCAATTATTTGGCGATGCACTCTTACAAATACTGAGTGAGTTGGATGTCGTCTGTTTGGAAATCTTCGTGCGTATTCTCTGGCTGCTTCTGCTGCGTTTCCATTTACAAAGCCATACAAAAAATGTATATCCGCTAACTCTTGATTGGAAAATAAAAATGGCATTTTTATAAAACTTACAAAAAAAAAACAGGTAATAGAAACTAAATTTCGTGCATTCACAATTGCAAAAAAACGTTTCAGGTTTCAACAGACAACAAAACTAACTGTCAACTAATTGACGTTTAACCTTATTCTGCTTTCAATTTCAAAAATATTTGCAGGCATAGCCTACTTCTAAAAATTATCGAGATACTGACTTTTTAACGTTATTTTATTATAAATAATTAAAAATGCATCGAACCTTAAAAATCGAAATATCTCAAAAACGGCTAACTATAACAAAAATTCACAAGAGAGCTTTTTTATGTTGAAAAGTGCGAAGAATCAGTTTTTTTATCCAAAAGGCAAAAAATTGCACTAAGAAACAATTTTCAATCATTTTAATACACTACAGGTACAGTAGAGAGCGCCCCCTAGCGGCTACAGTGAAACTATGCCCATGGTTCGTTTTGTCGTACCAAAAAACCCTTGTATACCAATTTTCACTGTTATACATTAAATATTGTTCGAATTATTTAAAAAAAAACTATTTTAGAAAGTAAATTTAAACACTCTGTATTTCGGAAGCCACGCATTTTTCGACCCATGTTTATATAGACTCTATGTATTAATTTTAAAAGTTCTATCGAATCTTAAAGTTATGCAACAATAAACTGAAACACCCTGTATACTTATAAAGGGAATAAGTATGGTCGAGATACTTAACAAGATGCAAGATTTACCCCTTATTATGTTAATCTGCGCTCGACTAAATCCGAATTTCTCCCGTAGGACTCCCCCCTACTATAGGTTATGTTCAGCTGTCCGAACTGCAGGGTTGCCAAACATACGAGAAATCTCGTACATGCACCAGATTTCAAGTTTCCGTACGAGATACGAGATTAATACTGCCTGCGCGGCTGTTTCGGTGCAAAAAAATCATGTATAAACTTACAATATAATACATTACATAAATACAATCGTTATTTCTACAATAAACATAAAATACCTAAAGAAATTAATGTGATAACTAATGTGACAAGTATTATTTATTTTGCTCATAATTTCTTGTTTGTTTCAGATCGTGCTTAGTTGGCCATGGTGCCTTTGCTGGTGGCTGTGAGGTAACAGTAATGGGGGCATGGGACCGGGTCGGTCGGAATGGGCATGCGCGCTCTCCCAGGCACGCTATTGGCCAAGTCTGCAGATAGACCGGCAGTGACGTCATCACCCCCAACCAAAGCCAACGCTACGCCGCCACTGGCATTCCGAAGACTGCCTTCCAGGAAGGACGCCGCTGGATTTACACCAACTGTGATTTTTACGCTTTTTCTGTTGCACACAGGTGAGCAACTATAAAAATACACAGTATAAAATGTAGACTGACGAGAACAGCGACAAAAATGTTATTTATGCAAGAAATGTGAATATAATAATAACAACGTGCCTTTATTCGTTTCTTTTACAAATTATTTTGAGTAAGGTGAGGTAATAACATTCGAAATGGCGGAGTGTTACCTTAAGGTATTTTTCAACTCAGCCAAAAATTAAATTGAGAGTTATGAATAAGAATAGAGTCGTACAATAATACAGTAATACATGGGATTTGTGACCATTTCCTAATAGTGTTCAAGGCATTTAATATAAAATCATGTTACTTATATGATAAAACTCGGAAAATCGTATAGTCTCACTTATTGTCGCTGAATATTTGAAAATTGATCTCATTATTACCAACTAGGGGAGGTAGATAGAAGAAGCATTGCTTTTATTTTTTTTGGGAGATTGTTGTAATGTTTGGTCGCAGTATATGAAAAGCTCTCCTTGTACAATGACGGAGTGTCGTGGGGTTATAATGAGATATTGACCATTGCTTGTTGCAGAGTTGTTAACGTCTTCAAATTTTTGTAGTTGATTGCTCTGGTTGTTTATTCAATAAGGCCATATGGACTAAATGTAGTGTATGATGGATTCTGAGGTATTCCTTATAAATATGACTTTTATGGTCATATTTTCTAATACCAAGGACAAGAACGGAAATAAGAATTTTGCAGCGTGATATTATTACTTTGCAACAAAGCGGATCCATTAGTGAATCACACAGCTGTAATTTTATTTTAACTCACTATTTGGTAAATTTCATTGAAGATATAATTGCCCGGGGATACCATAGGATCTTGACCATGACTCTCTTATATGACGGTCAAATTTTAGTTCAATATCCAGCCATAAATCCAGATTTTTGCTTACAGTTACAATCGGCAAACGAACGTTATTGCTGATATATTTTTTCATTCTTTACTTCAATCCGTTTCCGCTTTGGTCCAAAATCATAGCTTTTGATTTAGAAGCATTCAATGTTAAACTAAGAGCAGCCAAAAAGTGATATATGGTATTTAAATTCTTGTTGATCAGATCATAGGAAAAAAGCCCATCATTGACGTGAAGACCATAACATAATTGCAGTACTTTATATTGTTAGAAAAGTCTGAAATATAGAGATAATAACAAAAGACTAAGAATGGAGCCTTGAGGTACTCCCGTTCTTATGGAGGTATCTATTTTTTCAAAAAACTATTTATGAATTGAACAGCGTGAGAGCTGAAGCCAAAGTATGTCAATTTAATGTGTAGTATACCAGGGTCAATAGTATTGAAAGCCTTGCTGTAATCAAGTAACAGTAAACATACAATTTTGCTGTTGTCAGAATATATTAAATCATATACTATACAAGATGAAGCTGTTGCAAAACATAAAAGGAAGACTACTACAATGCTTTTATTGCATCCTACAATGGTTGTAATAAAAAAAGTTAAAAGTGACTCAAAATAAAATCGTTTGAAAAGGTCCCCTTTTAACGAACTTGTTGTTACCAGGACCAAATAAGTATTAAAACTTGAACAATTTTTTTAAGCATAATAATAATATTTATTATTATCAAAAAACAGTACATAATAGTTTACAAACAAGCAGCTTTAAGAGAATAAAGGGCTACATCAGCTTGTCCCTTAAAGAAGCAGCTGCTAGAGCCAAAAAAAAACAAACAAATTTAAAAAATTCTATAACAATGCAGATGACTATTAAGACATTGATAATTAATAAAGTTTTGACAGTAAAGAAATATAGCAAAGTACAGTAAATAGAGAAATGGACATTTATAATTTAGAGTGAGAAAGAGAAAGCGAGAATAGGGGAAAGAAAAGAAGAGAGAACAGGAGATATGTTTTTTATGATACCTGAGAGAGTAAATGACTTTTAAGGTTCCTCTTAAATGTAGCTACAGAGATAGAAAAATCCTTAATTTTGAATTTATTTATCAATGAGAATGATTTCTTAAATGATCCCTTATTGTGAGATAGTATTATAATCAAATTCAATCTTCTAATGTTTAGATTATGTACATCCGTCCGGTAACTAATTTTTAAGTAAAGATAATGGGGGCTTTTACATTTTATAGTCTTGTAAAAAAAAGGAAGTAGAGTGCAAGGTACGCGTCTGAGCCATATTCAACCATCTCAGTTCAGGTAGTTTGTGCGATACTTTTGTCTACCCCTTATACCAAAATATTAGTCTCAGACAAGAATTCTGATTTAAGACTAAAGCTTCGCAGAACGTGACTTTAGTATTTTGTGATAGTAATGTCTATGGGGGTAAATTATATTTAACATTGAATATGCTTTTATTTATGCTTAGGCACAGAGTATTGTGTTCTCTAAACTCTAAATCTCTAAATGATATTATATTGTCCCCTAGTTTGAGCTCAATATCATCTTCTAATATGTTTCTGTGAGAATCACTACAAAACAATATAGCCGTCGATTTACTAGGGTTTATCTTCAACAAGTGATCTTCAGTGGTTTTGAGAAGGCTATTCCAGTCGGTATTCAGTCGGTTCGTTATAAGTTCTGACAGATCAGGTTTAAAAAAGGCATACATTTGAGTGTCGTCAGTATAAAGATGATATTGACAATAGCTTGACGACTTTCCAAAATTAAAAGTATATAGGCTATACAGTAATGGACCCAAAATACTGCCCTGGGGTACCCCTGTTGTAACTCCACGTATAACCAATTTTTTTTTTGCTTCGGTCAAAATTTTAATGTTGTCAGTGTTCCCAAATGTTCTTCAAGCATCCATTAACAAAATCCCAAGTCATCTTAGGACTTACTGTTATTGTAAAGCTCCATTTTTATTTGTTAATCGAGCTGGCACTCAGTGGTTTCATACTTTCACCGGAGCGAATAAAACAATTTTTTATTTAATTCTTTAAAACAGTTTTGTCGCAAATGTGTGCCTATCAACATACATATTTGTTAAACGGGGCACTTTTCGAATGAGATTTTAAAAAATCCAAATTAAAATGTTTTTCCAGTCAGCTGCGAATATATTACACGGTCTAATAAACCTAAAAATTAAAATGCTGTAGATATGATCTTTTCTGAAAATATCACCACAGCTGCTCCAGTCAGCCAGCCAAGATGTCGAGTTGTCTGATTGAAGCTACTTTGTAAATCTTACAAGAATTGCGATAAATCTAGTATCGAGATTGTAGAGATAACTTTCGCGTTTTTATTAATATTAACTAAACTCGTTCTAGCAATCTCACTCAATTTTCATAGAAGTCGACGTACTCCGCTACTTCGGACATGTCTTCGCTATCGTCTATAAAAATTAAACACGGTGATTCCAAACTACATCCTCTATGACATTATTTGCATGCAAGAACACGTCTGACGAGCACCTTTTACTAAAACCAGCGCTCGTCGAGTGCTGACCCGATTTTTCGTCCATATTACGACACTTTTCATATCTATAGCAGGGATGCGATGTATAGAGCAGTCTTTTCACGCACAATATCACGTATTCCAGGCACATGCTTCATTTCCTTTAGAGCCGCTTTTCTCTAGTTGAACGCCCGCCTCACAGCCATAGAGCTTTTAGCCGGCAACTAGAGACAGACGTTTTAGTTATGGCCACAATTGCGAAAAAGGACACGTACTTATAATTTCCCGAGCTGAATCTATATACAGTGGACCCCCGATAATCCGGCACCTGTCTAATCCGGCGCCCCCTGTAATCCGACATGTCTTTGAATATGTATTACATACATACGTATTTGACAATCTTCGCTAATGTAGATCACGCAGGTTTGAACAGGTTACAACTTGTACGCGCCACCGTTATCGTGCTCGACGCGTAAGCATTGTTTTACTTAGTTTGAATTTGAATACTTGTGATAGCGGTACCGCCTGGCGTGCGTTCATTGTTTACTATTTATTCATTGTGTATTAAGTATAGTACCTAGTAATGTCATCACAAACTCAGAAGCGAAAGCACAAAACATTGACAAAATATGATATTTTAGACCGCTTAAATCGCAATGAAACTTTCAGTAGTTTAGCAAGTGAATACGGCGAAGGCCGATCTACAATTTATGACATTAAAAGAAACCACGAGAAGATCAAGAAGTTCGTGTCAACTACTGACTGCGGGCCAGGCAAGAGACAGACACTCAAGAAAGCTGAACATCCAGAAGTGGAAGAAGCTTTGTACATGTGGTTTTTTCAGGAAAGAAATAGGCATGCACCGCTTTCAGGACCCATGTTGGCCATGAAAGCTTAATTTTTTTATAGAGAAATAACAAAAAAAGATGATTTTGTGGCCAGCAAAGGATGGCTAGAACGTTTTAAAAGTCGTCAAGCCATACGTTTAATGACTATTACAGGAGAGAAACTTTCTAACGATGCCACCTGCATAGAGCCCTTTAAATTAAGATTTTTGCAAAAGTTGAACGATTTAAATCTTGACTCGTCACAGGTGTACAATGCAGGCGAATCAGGGCTTTTTTGGCGTGTGATGCCTAACAAAACTTCCGTTTCTTGTAACGAAAAATCCGTACCTGGACGGAAAGTAATTAAAGAGCATGTAACCATACTACCATGTGCTAACGCTGCCGGCACACACGCGCTTAAAATGATGGTAATTGGGAAATATAATAAATCACGAGCATTCAAAAGCATTGATTTACCTGTACACTATTACGGACAAAAAAGTGCATGGATGACAAAAGACCATTTCAAAAAGTGGTTTGATCAATGCTTCGTACCTGAAGTTAGAAAATGGTTAAAGGATCATAATTTTCCTCAAAAAGCATTGTTGCTTCTTGATAACGCTCCCGGTTATCCGTCTGAAGAAGAACTAACAACTGAGGATAAATGCATCAATGCGATGTTTCTTCCGCCAAATTGTACTGCACTGATTCAACCAATGGACCAGAATATCATTCAGTTTGTCAAGCAAGACTATAAGAAAAACCTACTTCTGAGAGCCATATCAAAAGGCCAA